ACATGAAAAGATCAGGACACAGACAGAGACGGGACCAAACAGGAGACAAGACTGCCCTAAAACATGGAAATAAAAGACTAAGGACTAAGACAGACCATAATGAGAACATACAGAAGTACACCGATAAAGAAAACACTGAACTAAAGCACAGGACCAAGAACTAAGATGAGAGACGAGACATAAACTACTAAGGACAAGGAACGAGAGAAACAGGCAAGAAGACATATGAAACAATGGCAAAAACTCAAACTCACAGGGAAAACTACAACTCATAACACTTATAGCCTAGGCCATCTTTATGTAGAGCAACAATTCTTTTTTTCAGATCCTGAGGTTCATGAGGTGCCATGTAGAACTTCCAGTGACCAGTATGAGGGAGTGTGAGAGCGATAACATCAAATTAAACAGCCCTGCTCCCCATTCACACCTGAGACCTTGTAACACTAACGAGTCACATGACACCAGACAGGGTAAATGGCTAATTGGGCCCAATTTGGACATTTTCACTTAGCGGTGTACTCACTTTTGTTGCCAGCGGTTTAGACATGAATGGCTGTGTGATGTTTTATTTTGAGGAGACAGCAAATTTACACTGTTATAGAAGCTGTACACTCACTACTTTACATTGTAGCAAAGTGTCATTTCTTCAGTGTTGTCACATGAAAAAGATATAATCAAACATTTACAAAAATTTTGAGGGGGGTGTACATTCTAGGCGTGTGAGATACATACATACAGCACAAAACACAACAGAGTTGGTGCTACCTCATATATCTCCTTAGCGAGAGTCCAGGCCTGTTGAGAAAATGGTAAATATGTGCCTGTAACAGCAGCTGTGCCTCCCATGCATGATGTTGTTTGGAATCTACTTCAGCACAGTGTCACTGTCAGACCTAAAAATAACTCGACGACAGGCAGCCCGTCCCAATGACTTGGCAAAAGCTTTTCTCCATGCTGCCCACTCCGTGTTGATCTAACCAGCTGCTCAGCCACAAACTGCTTTTTTACTGGAAGGATGAGCCATTATTTCCATTCTGTGCTTCTGTGGTGAGTTTGTTGTTGGTTACTTATTTAATTTCACAGTATCTGATGAGAGGAAATGTAATTTATTGTTCGCTTTTGAGGAGATCAGAGTAATACTATTCTCTCATACTGTACTAATCAAGAGCCAAAAGTACTTTGTAGTCCTTGGAAGAACATGGTGATGCTACACTTGAGAAGACAAGCTACTTTTTTGTCAAATCTGAAAGGTCACTGTTTCTGAAATAGTTTTCTAAGTTCTAAACTCAAATACTCAAAATGTATCTACAATTCTCTTCATTTCCCTTTTAGGCCTTTCTTTTATTTGCACCATAATACAAAACTGCATTATTTTTTAATTGAAACTTAATTTAATTATTTTATTGTAAAATCAAAGATATCTTTTTTGTAAGTAATAAATGACAAACTATTCCTGTAGACCATTTTGTGGTCACGCCATCTGTGTGATGCAGTTACTTAAAAAGATTGTTGAAAAGGATGTTGTACTTCATGCTGAAGTTATGGCAACATTGTTTAAACAGGTTTTTGACAATAATTTATTATTTTAATATATTTATTTATTTTGTTTAACACTTGCAGGTGAGCTCTAAACTCTGTTTCTGACCATCCCTGCTAAAAGACGATTTGACCTACGTTTTGAACTGAAGTCGGCCATGGTGCGGAATGTGGATGACCTGGACTTCTGCTTGTCCTCGCATTCTCAGAGCATCCTGGAGGGCTTGCGCTCCCTCTGCTCTCACCCCAAACTGGTCGATGTAACACTGAGCGCAGGGGGTCGGGACTTCCCCTGTCACCGCGGCTTGTTGGCCCTCTGCAGCACGTACTTCCGCTGCATGTTCACAGGGGACTTTGTGGAGAGCATAGCTGCACGTGTGGAGCTTCATGATGTTGATCCTGACATACTCAGCTGCTTGCTGGACTTTGCCTACACAGGCAAACTGACCATCAACCAAAGCAATGTGGAGGGTTTGATCTGCACCTCCAGCCAGCTGCAGTTCCAGACAGTGAGAGCCGTGTGCAGCCGATACCTCCAGCACCAGATTGATGCAACCAACTGCCTGGGAATCCTGGAGTTTGGGGCGATCCATGGCTGCCCTGAGGTGGTGGCCAAAGCGTGGGCCTTCCTCTTGGAGAACTTTGAGGCTGTACAACAAAGTGAGGAGTTTCTACCATTGGGAAAAGACAGACTGGTTGCCTGTCTCTCCGACGAAGGACTACAGATCCGGTCAGAGTGTACCCGCGTGGAGGCCATACTGAAATGGGTCGGGCACCACAAGGAGTCTCGGCTCTGCCACCTCCCTGAACTCCTCACCTTGTCCCGTCTCTCTCTACTCAGCCTGGACTACCTGGCTGACACCCTGCTGAAAGACAGCCTGGTGCAGGCCTCACCCAGCTGCAGAGAGGCTGTGGAAAAATTCACAGAGAGGTTAGTGAGCTCACACTTACTCTTTCTTTTCTCTTTGTTTGCTCAGTCTGAGTAGATTTCCAAAATCATGACTTCTACTTTTCTAGAAAATGGATTTGGCACCAGAATGTATGGACAGACTCAGCTCTCAGAGTCCACAACCAAACCTGCAGGAAGTGCTGTTTGTAATGGGAGGTCGTTCACTGGATGACTCAGATGACTCAGATGGCTCAGATGAAGATGAGGACAGAGATCCAAGACTGCAAAGAGAGCTGCACAAGAACTGTGCCTTCTACAACACAAAGACAAGTACAAGCACTTTTTGCCCACATTATAATTTCCAATTTTGTTTAAGTGCAGAATCCATTCAGCAAAAGAAATTTGTTGGGAAATGTCTGATTCGTCTGAACAGTCTGGCAGATGTGTCGTATGGTCGTTAAATATAGCGTTGACAGAAAAACGGCTCTGCAGGAATGCGTTCTGGATGTGACAAAATTGGATCGTCTTCTCAGTTCGTCAAATGAGGATTTCATTGTGCAGAGCTGGGAGACGGCATCCATGTCCGTGTTTTTCATATGGGGTGTTAAGGAAAAGATGGTTGCATCTCATTCTAAAGTTTATGGTTTCATGTGGAAGCATGACAGCTCTAGCCACAATGTCATGGGCTGTGCCAGATAAGTTGTATCTGTTAACTGTTTCTTTCTTTCTTGACCTTACTTGGTCCCTGAGGATGTTTCTCTTTGCCTAATTTCCCTGGTATACATTTCTCCTTTGCATACTGTATTTGTGAAAATGTGATCCAGTTTCCCCTCACTTTCTGAATGATACTAAAACATGAACTCCCTTTTCTTTTTTTCTGTAGAGCAGTGGCATGAGCTTCCTAATTTCCCCAACCCTAACAAGTGGGGCTACTCAATGGTGTCCTTGAACAATGATGTGTATGTCACAGGTGAGTGAAGTCTATGCAACCCTTTAAAATACAGAAACTTAATCGGTAAAGGAGAAGAAGTAATGATAAATGGTTTTGAGCAGATCTCTTTTGTTTCTCATGTGAGGAATGCGAAAAGTCGGCAGACTTTTGACAAAGTGCTCTTGTCTGTCTGACAGGGGGCTCGCGAGGTTCGAATACCAACACCTGGTCGACCACTGAGACCTGGAAGTACATCACAAGAGAGGGGAGGTGGGTTACTGTGGCACCCATGCTCCGGCCTCGGACTAACCACGCGTCGGCAACGCTCAACGGGGAGATTTACGTCATTGGAGGTAAGAAAATAAACAGCCCTGTATGTGGTGAATTAAACCTGCAGTGCAATGGAAAACTTTGATAAAGTCAAGTAGCTCATCTGCCCTGAATGGCTTACCTCTGCGGTGATAATTTATAAGAATTTGCTTGCATTTCGTCTTTGTGGTTAAATAGTTGGCCATGTTCCACAAACACATCTTTAAATGCAAGTATTAGTTTACATTTTATGAGACCATAATTTAACCTCATCGCTTGTTACTTACATTTCCCTCCTTTAGGTACAACATCAGATCGGGTTGAAGTTGAGCATTATGACCCATACAACGACACTTGGGCCTTGACATGTCCCGCCTTAAAATATGTGACGAACTTCACCGCCACAGCGTGTCATGGGAAGCTCTATGTGATTGGCTCGTGCGCTGTGAAGTACAATGCTTTGGCCATGCAGTGTTATAACCCTGTTATAGGTAAGGATGATCAAAGCAAACGTCATGTCTCCGATGAGTCTGCCATTTTTTAGAGATTTGCTAAATTAAATTACAACTATTAAAAAAATGTTTTGCAAATGCATTCACTATGTTTCATTTATTTCTCACCATTTTGAGTCTTGGATATTGTATAGAAATCTAAACATGGCTCACTTTCCCCAATTCATTTTTCTACAATTTTTTTTTTTCTAGATAGCTGGATCAGCATATGTTCGCCCTTCATCCCTAAGTATTTGTCCTCTCCTCGTTCTGTCTGTGTGGATGGAACTATATATCTGGTTGCTGATAACACTAAGAAAGTCTACTGTTATGATCCGGAGGTGAACATGTGGCAGAAGGTGGGTTTATATATCACTGCTGACTATAGTCATAATACAGCAATGCAATCCCTCGAATCAATGCTAATTTAACAGTATTATAGAAAAACTATGTTTTATTCTCCTGTTAATTTGCCTTTGACTTCTCCCGCTCTTCAGGTCCAACTTCTCCACATGCTGCATGAGAATGGCGGCTTGGTGTCGCTGGATGGCAAGCTGTTTGTCACCGGAGGCCATTGGAAAGGTATGGAGGGGGACTACGGGGTGGAAGTGGAGATTTACAACCGAGCATCCAACACCTGGGAAGTGGAGTGCTTCCTGCCAAGACTGTGGTTCTACAGTGAAGTCTGCACCATCTTCCTTGATCCATCCAGTGGCCTGAGCTTTTCCCCATAGAATCAACATAATGACCTCCTTTCCCGAAAGGACTATACTCATGGTCAAAGAATTCACAGAGACATGTTCCTATCATAACTATGTTACAGTGCAAATGGCATGTTTCATAGGATGTCACTGTGCCCTAGAATAGTGTGTTACATGATCCTCAGGTATCCTTGGTTGTTTTTACGGCCTCGCTTGTTCATTTATACTTTGTATCATGTGCTTGTGTGGTTTTTTGTGTGTTATTGAACTGAGCTTGTGAATAATTAAATCCTTGTAGAAATAATTTGTGGACTACTGTTATGATGATGATGAAGATGATTATTATTATTGGTTGTATATCACGGGTTTGGAACTGGAAATGCTCGAATTCTTAATAAAATGTGTTCCTGAAAATAAATTTATAGTAAGTCTTGTCTGGGAAAAGACAGCTCACTTTGCCTTTAGTGCCTTGACGATCATTAACCCATTGGCTCTCGGCGTTAGTCCTGCCATGGAAACACTATGCAGTCAAGCCAGCATTCTATTTCTATGGCAACGGCCCGGAAGCGGACTGGGATTAGAACAGTGCTGCTCGACCTGAGAGTCGCTCAAAAGTTTGTCAGTGATTCTTTTTCAACTCTCTAGCCCTGTCTTTAAGCAGGTACCGGTTAATTAGGGACTTTCTTTATCTGTTATAACATGATTCAAAATGACAGGCTACGTTTGTGTTTGTTGTTTTGTTGACCTCTCTCTATCTGAAGTTTTATTAGCCTTTAAGTTATGGCAAGCTAACGTTAGAGCTACGTTTCTGTCTCGTCAAATTAAACCTTTAAAGCTTTAACTTTACTAGCTGACGTTTTCTTTTTTAAAGCTGGGCCAATTTTGCAATGAGTTCTCAACGGGAGCAAGATGGACACTCACCTAGACTGGAGACTGTGATTCAGGTTGGTAACATAACAGTTATTGTCCAAGTGGGATTGTTAGCGTCACACTTCTTTTTTCAAAGTAACGTTAGACACTTAGACTTGGGGAAAAGCAAACCGCATAAGAGGAAAATGTGTAAATAACGACATTAAAGATGGCTGAATTCAATGTAACTGTTGGTAACACCTGTTCCAAGTCAAAATGTCTGCTGTGGAAAAATCCTATTGAAAGGCAGTGGAGGAAGAAGTACACATTTACTTAACTCAAAGTAATAGTCAGACATTCAAATTCTGGTAAAAGTGAAAACATACAACCTTTTTTGTGGAACTTTATTTGAGTTTCAGTAACAGTAACACAAATATCAAACATTCATTGACAGAAGGCTTTTCATTCTTTATCCTTTTTTCCAAACATCCTGTCACAGAGTTCAGACGTTCAGATACAGCTTGTCTGGAGTCCAAAAGTGTAAATTATTAGCATCAAAATAATGAAAGTACTAAAAGTAATCATAATGCACAACAGCTCATTATTATTGATGAAATAATATAAGCATCACTGTTGCAGCTGGTAAAGGTGGAGCAAATTTTAACTAGATGACTATACTGCTGGCTAGTTTAATCTATAATAATACATCATAATGTATTTGTTGATTATATTTTGTTTTAATAATCTGAATCTGCAAATTAACTAGCAACTAAAGACTTACAGTGGAGTAAAAAACAACATTTGCCTCTGATATGACAGTGAAAATACTCAGCATACTTTTATGCTACTTTATACTTACACTACATTTCAGAGGGAAATATCGTACCTTTTCCACTTCATTTATCTCTCAATAATAGTTTCTACAGATCTACAGTTTGACCTGCTGCAATAAGTAAATGTTACCTTCAGGTTAATGAATCAATAATGGCAATCCAGTAATATAAAATATATCATAAGCCTCTGAAAGAGTCTATTATGCAGAGTACTGTTACTTACATTACATTAGCAACTGCTAAGGACTTTGTTACTGTTAAATAATTACTGTTACATAATGAGTAATTACATCTGTTTGCGTATATTGCAGTATTTTTACTCAAGTAAGATTTTGATTGTGGTATTACTACCATCTCCACAACTGTTGTCCTCATAGTCTAACCTAATGAGTTGGGCCTTTTCTGCTCAGTTATGTGATATGTTATTATGACATGTATGAATGTAGAAGTTGGAGGACTCCCTGCTTCACTCTGATGGCAGCTCAGGAGAGAGGACTCTGATGCTTCGAGGTGATGGACAAGAGTCCAGTATTTCGCCGACGCCTGTCACCACCCGCATCCGCCAGATCATCACCCGCCACCTGGCCGAGCAGCCAGCCGGTAGAAAAGAGCTTTAATTCAAATGCACAGACAAAAGCATTAAACACACGCAACAATAAATGCACCATGTTAGATATCAGTTGTCATTAAACCCCAGGTGGTAAGACACGTCTGTATGCATGATCTGTTTCCCAATCCCAGGTGAGAGCTCTGAGGTCAGTGAGCTGGAGGAGAGCAGGGCCCTGGGGATCAGCTGTCTCCAAGTCAGTTGGACCATGACCAGTCGTCAGACAAACAGGTCAGTCTCACAGACAGGGTTGGAGTGACACAGGGCGGGAACACATTCTCAGGTCAAGGTCAAGCTGTCAAACATCATTTACGTTTTTCGCATTTGTTGTACCCATGCTATTCTGATGGAAATTAATTTTTGTTCTGGAACAGAAAGGGAAACAAACTAAGAAAATTATATAACAGACCAAATGGCATGCACAGGTGATGTCGTCTAGGTACATCTGACAGATTATCATCTACTTATTCTTGATT